CCCTAGTCAGTCAGCAAGACGTATCTGTAACTTTGTTTACTTAAATCACCTCACTACAGATCACTTAGCACTTAAACTGTAATTATTGTTTGCATAAGTATGACACGTAGACATGAAGAAGTGGAGATAGGAGATGGGAGGGGTAGAGGGTGACAGAGACAATGATAGATGACAAGTAAACATGTACTATCTGTCACATTTGTCAATTAAAAAATATAATAAGTGAAATGCAACTGTCAATTAAATGTCTCCATTTGTTTATTCATGTCATATTGACAACTTTCTATGGGTATGACGTATTTATTTGTCAGACATGATTAGATGTATGATTATTATTATTATTATTATCATAATTATTATTGTTGTTGTTTTCAAATGTCGACGTGCAGAAATTTAATTGTTTACAGGTTTGGTTACGAGTTGAATTCAGTTAGAGAACCACTGAAAACTAACTAGGAAGTACTAGTACTGGACTACCATTTCATCCTAGTTTGAGACTCTTTAGCAGTGCACACCCACCACCACCGGAGTCTGAACCCAGAATTATCCCGGTTACAAGGCAAACTTGTAGACCATTCAGACGCAGGTGTAACGAACGGCAGTAGATAAGAGAACTGAGGACGGACCAAATCTATTAAGAAAAGACATATTATATTTTTAACCACATTAAAAGTCAGCTAGGTTAGTAGGCAATAAACCGATCTGATTGGTCTGAGACTAGCTCAAGGTTAAACAACGGGATGAAAAGTTATCCAATGAGATTATTTCCTGACTGTAACGTGAAATTAATCCTGATTTGAGGGATAAATACTTCTGCCTTTGTCTACAGTCATTGCATTAAACTGTTGATTTCTATTTTCGGGTGGTGGGGGGACAGGTCTATATAGCACACACAACACCGGTACTCGATCCAATGGTCCATGAATTCCAACTTCTGCTAATTTATTATTGTATTAGTGTATTGCAAAGTATATTTTATCATGAAGTGGGAAAGATAGATAGCCGATTCGTAACATTTTAAGAGGAGCACTCAGTAGCGCCTATGTTATGATCTTCACTAGGAGCGTAATACAGAAAGGCATTCAAGACTCGAGATATGCACTTTGTTTATTATTATTTGTTTATTATTCAATGTCTATCGTCTGAAAATCTAGAAGTTCGGTACTCCAGGCCCAGATAAGGACTAAATCAATTAGTTTGCTGAAAATCAGTACTTTGTTTCCGTTGTTTTTCAACCTTCAGATTGATTTATTTATTAGCTGTATTATTAATTTGCTGAGTCAAATTCACAGTTTGGGGTGAAATCTCACCACCACAGTTTACTTTGGAAACCAAACTTATTCAGACTAAGCACAATATGTAATCTGCTTATTATACTACAAACACCAGTTTACGAAAGCAGGCACCAATCCATCATACTGTATACTACTGAATTACTGATATCAGTAGTGGGTAATCACTCAAATCAAGCAGGAATGTGTCTTGTTCTACTGATACAATTTATCAGTAGTATATATATATAAAGAAACGTTCATCCGTCGGCATAAAAACATCAAATAGAAGGGAGATAGATTTGATGTCAGAGAAAGTAAATGATACAGCGTTGTGGAGAGATACATGGGAGATAACGTGAAAGGAACACACAAAGAAACACAATATGAAGGAGGAAGGCCAGAAGTAGCAGGGACAACACAGAAGATCAGTGCAAATGGTGATTTGAAGATAAGGTGTACATAATTTCGCTATATAGAGATACCAAATTCCAGATAAGGTAATACTTGCTGGCCCGCTGGATCGAAGTAAACTAAAAAAACACTGAACAGCCGTATTTCTCCTTTGGAGCTGAGTTCATCAACTGTGCATTCAGTTTGACTCATTTCAGATTGTAACGACCAAATTTATTCGGTTAAAGTCTGAACGCATTGTATAGCCACCAAAACTTTTTTAGACGCACGCTATCACGTAATGTCCCAAACAGAGGGATAAGACGATTGATTATTCTCCAATATTTTAGTCATCCTATCAAAGAATAATAACATGGGAAAACTCAAATTTACTTGAACAATGCCGTGAAACAGCTAGCTATGCAGGTGATGTAGGTTTCTAAGGACAAAACAAGTACTTAGAATCGACGAGAATATTCTCAAGGAGATGAGATTAACAGCTCTGTCTATAAGAATCATACACCAAGGCTTCCCGCAAACAGTCCCCCATCAGAATGACCTTTATTCACTCAAACAAACTCATATCATTAAATAACACATTGTCAATTCACACACAACCACAAAGGAGTATTACAATTTAAGATTAAACAAGGTTAAAGCAAATAATAACGGACAAAAATCAGCATGTGATATGCAAATGTCAAATTAATGATACACAGTCAAGGGGGGGAATACGTATAATAATCACAAACTTAATTGAAATGTTTAAATAAGCATAAATATTACAAATAGATCTTCCAAGAGGGTTTTTCCAAACCATTTGTCCATTACACAGACAGCTGAGTCACTTCAAACCCCCTTGATTCCGATTAACTACTTGGATGAATTGTTAACACCTTAGATCAAATTTAATATTTGCAACTTACACAACTTGAGGCGAAATTTCATCCCCACCACTGTCAAGACAACAGGCTTGGTAACGGCAACTCTTTATTAACAAAAACACACCATATTTATACATTTTTAGCCACATTTGAGGCCGGCTAGGTCAGTAGATAATAACCTGCTCCGATTGGCTGACGATTTGCCCGAGGTTACACCATGAAACGAAAAACTATCCAGTGAGATTATTTCCTAACCACAACGTAAACTAAATCCAGATTTGAGGAGAGATTAACTCAAAATATCATTTCCAGTTTTCTCAATTTGTATCTGCTATATACTACTGATAAACCTTGTCAGTAGCACATGTCATATTGGTCCACTTGCATGATATCCAAATACTCAATTTGTAGTATATACCCTAGTGCATATTTTACATTTCTGTTTACAAATAACTTGAATCAGTATTACTTAAATATCTTTTCCATCATTATGGTTGAATGAAAAATGTGTCAAGATCCAGTCGATATCTTTGTATACGTATCTACTACGGATCAATTACAGTTATACGCATTTCATCATGATCGTTATGTTCGTTATCCGCTACTTTTTTCCTTGGCATTTGAACATTTAAATAATTAAGTGGCATTTTATGGAAAAGCTTGTCATTAGCACAAATTAATAGACAAAAACCCACTCACTTACCTGAATACATACGCCCACGCACAAATGCAAGCGTGAGCATGTGTACAGACACACTCAAATTAATACACATACACACAGACACTCAAATTTGTAGACAATAAGAATCAACGTTATACATGAGGTTGCGAATAATAATCACCCATTTTGTTTTCTTGTACTGATTTTATTTTTTGTCATTTTTTGGGGTTCCGAATGGAATATAAGACTTCACGCTTTAAGTTTTAAAGGTTTCAATAGGGATGGTTTTGTTTTTTATAGGATGCGGTGGGGATGTTAGCCTATAACGCCTAAGCTTCCCTCTTTACCGGAGTTATTACTGGTTAGACGAGGTTTAGTAGTAACCTGGAATCGAACCCAGATCAAGTATGGAGTGGTTGGTGAGGATTCTACTGATAACCCACTGACGCACTTTATGTGGATAAGGGAAAATAACTGAACAGGTTTCTTCAATCTTCTGAGGTGAACTTTTCATAAACATACTAGAATTTATCTACATAAATCAGTCAGTAAGATATACTTAATAGTAAGACGGCTGTCTGGTACTTAGATCGCTTCGAACTGGGTGGCTAGTAAACACTCCTGATTGACGTGAATGGTGTTCAGCTACTCATGCCAATTAAGTAGTAATATTATGTAGCAATATGCACTTATGCCTGATTTCTTGATGGTCATTTATGGTATCAAGCACATTACACACCATGTGTGATCTAAACAGTTTCAGCTTGTAGCGGAAACCATGGTAGAATTCCACCTCGAACTGGGTGTAATTTACGAATTACCAATTTGATTCTACCTCACGTGCTCTTATGGAGCAAGGTACATCAACCGTCGCTAAAGAATACATAAGTGGGAAAGGAAGAGTGTGAGAAGAACACGTGGCCAACTTTTATCAATCAACTAATCATGTAAATGATTTTAAGATTATCTTAAAGTACAGCACGTCGCGAAATTCATGACTAGCTATAAGTGTAATGACAGAAGACAAGGGTCAGGCAACAGATCGTTTATTGAGGAAATCAGGGGATATTTATAGACTTTTATGTACATTAATGTTAGCGTTATTGTTAGTGGAGAAGCAGCCTCTTCTGATTGGTTGTTTTCTTGCTGGAGGTTATTCTGTCATCTCTTTGTGGCCGTTTCTTAGAAAGTTAAGCCATATATCTGCGAATCCTATCTGCACACGTTCATTTTGCTGGGATTGGTTGGTGAGTTCCTCAAGGTTAAGCTCTGTTATTGTATTTTTCGCACGACACCGATTCGGGAAGTAAACACTGACGTAAATTGTTGTCTACAATTTTGACACTGGGACTTGAGTTTGATGCTGAATGCAATAACCGACTCAACTGAAAACTTAGAATAAAAAGCACAAGGTCAGAATGTGGTTGGGTGGGTGTCAGTGAGGTAGATAAAGAACATTTTATCATCTGGCTACGCCTGATATCAGCAGGCTAAAATCTACCAATGGGACAACGTATAAGTCACCTAGACTAGACAGATTATCAGTGTAACGCCCAGTCACCTGTAAGCAAATTACACGTTTCCTGATTGGTAGATTTCAGCATGCTGCTATTAGGGCCCATTTATGGCGTTCATCCACTGCCATGTATGGGTGGACAGTCACCATTTGAAAGCAAATGAAATTGATAGGTTAAGTTCAAGGCCGCTGATTATTATTGGTTGATAATTTATGTCTGTCACCTATCAACATGTATATATATCATGTTTATCTTTTTTAATTTTTATTCACAGCTTGTCACAACAATCTCAGTGAATCAAGGTGAAATCCCAGAGGGTGTACATCCAGCTGAAGAACCAGTTGGTCATTTCTATTTATCTCAAACATTTTTCTTTCCACAAATTCGTCCAAAATTAATTCATCAAATTCCAATATGGCCAATTATAGTCGGTGTCGTTTTAGGCTTAATTGTTCTCTACCTATTGATTATACTACTATATCTATTAGGCTTCTTTAGACGACGTAAAACTCAACTGCGTAAAGCAATGCTTACAAAAGGCGGTGCTGAAGAGACCTATAAACGTGAACAAACTGAATCGCTACTAGTTGGTGAAACAAAAACCGCACAGACAAATGATGTTCACAAGGCAATTAATTCAACATCTCCAGCACAAAGTGATGCGCGGATGCCAACGGGGAAAAAGTTGAAAAAGAAGCATAAAAAAGATTTGAATATTCTTCATCCAGCTGATTTATCCGTGACAACATCATCGACAAACGGTCATCAACATCATGCATACAAAGAGTCAGAGGAACAGAATCTGATAACAGACTCCACTTCATCTCAGTGAGAGATTTCACCATATATTGTGAATGTGCCGTCTGCTTGCTTTACTTTGTGAATTTCTTCTTGAGTGGAACAAAACAGTTTCTCTGCCGCCTCCACAGACACACACACACACCCCTCCCCAACCCTTTGGAGAAAGAGATGATGTGTTGACCGACCAAATGGTTTTCACCAGGTTATCGCACTTGCTTTTCTTGTAAATTTAGGTGTTTGTATTTTTCTTTTCTTGGGATTATTTTTTGGGGTTTTCGTTTTGTGATAAATATATATACACACATATATATGCATACAATATCAGTGTATTTATGACGTCACACAACTCTAATAGTTTATTTGCATATATATACATATTTATGCCTCTTTGTTGGTGAGATTCGACTTTTTCTGTCTTTTTTCTCTCTGCCCACCCCCCGCCCTCCCTCTGTATTTTACCTGTTATTGTATTTACTGGTCAGTTGTTCTCCACCCCCAACCTCCCTTCTTCTCTGTCTATCTGTCTGTATGTATACATGTTATCAGAACTATTATCTCTTCATGTATTCTGCCTGCCTCCTGATTTTCCTGTTCTCTGCTTCACAGCTATTTTGTCTTTGTTGTACCTCAGAAGTCGACAGGAGAAACAGCCCTCTCTCGATCCATATATATATATACATATATTGGCTTAGGTAAATGTCAGGTTGCATTGTCTGTCTTCGCGATCGATTCAGTCAATCCTACAATGGGATTAATCAATATCTGTATTGCTTCAAGTGAACTTGAGTTGGAAAACCGATCACAATTTTCTTATTTTAGCGCGTCAATGATTTTACTCGCCTCAAAATTTTTTTTATTCTTTTCAGATGCCATCTTTTAGGTGGTAGGAACTTGGTTGGTTTTTTCATTTGATGATACCTGATCGATAAATATTACACTTGATAGTCAATACTTACACAGAATTGAATAAATAGATAGACAGACGAACACACACAGGCATAGACACACATGGGCCTACACACACACATATTTTTTAAATTTATGTCTATCTACCTATCTATCTACCTACCTGTCTACCTATCTATCAATCAAATCTTATGTTCAATTTTTAAAAAAAACTAAACTGAGTTGTATTCAAACAGGTTGAGTAATCTGTCTATTTTCTATTAGAATGTAAAATAAACTACACATTTGTTTTTCGTCTTATCTGACCAGATGGTGGATTGGGAGGGAAGGGAGATGTGTTAAATATTTAGGTCCTGAGTTCGATTCTGGGTAGGGCAGACGCGCAGGGGGTGAGGTGAGGGGCTGTCAACTGTTGGTCTTTCCAGTGATTGTCTAACTGATGTCAGCTTCTAATGAAGTCTCTACAATTCCAAAATCTCAATGAATAGTAATCTCCAGCTAATTAGCGACCAGTTTCAAGAGGCATATTCAGAAGTTCCGATGAGAGGTTTTAAACCAGTGAGTCCCACCATATCGGGGTGAAGTGATCAGTGCCACTGGTTAGCAGTAGTACTATACATCAGTAAGAGACAACTGTCGGAAACTAAAGAGTAATACGCAACTGTTTCGTCCTAGTTAAGAACTCTTCGGCAGTTGAATCATATGGTGCGAATCGACAGAATTCATAGATGATTGATTTCTAAACGAGTTGTTCAATGATCGATGAGCTTGCCTAGTAAAGTGAAGATCTTGGGATAGTGGAAGTACACTGCTGAAGAGTTCCACACTAGGCTAGTGTGGTACAGGCAATTCATTTGAGTGTTTTAAATTCAGTTATTGGAACCTGTCTTACTGGAATATAATACGACTGTACAATCTCTGAAGATGATTTTTTTATAGTGCAGTACTCCCAGTTGGTTATCCAGTGTTTCTCAAATCGATTTCAGCTCATAATGGGATCCAGAAGTCACTTGAATCTCTACAACCCAACACTTCAATATCAGTCAGATACTAACTAGCGAATGGCACTATTCAGGTAAGTAATTACCCGGGTTATGTCGGGAATTCGTGATCAGTGAGGTCTATCCTGTCGGGAGTGTGAGGACAAATACTCGCCACCAATGACATTAGCTATTACCAGTCGCTCTATATCATGAATTAGCAGAAATTGAAATTCGTGGCCTGGCTATTGGATCGGATCTTAGTGGTTGCTTATTGGTCTACGAGCTCACCGCCGTGTACCTGGAAGGTCCTGAGTTCTAACTTTGGCGGTGGGTGTGTACTTCTGAAGAGTCCCGAGTACTAGGAAGCAACAGCTATCCAGTACTCCTTAGTTGGTTTTCCAATGGTTCTCTAACTGATATCAGCTCATGATGAAAATCGTGTAATCAATCAAATCCCTGCAAACCAACAATGAAAGTTTTCGTTGCTGAATTGTCTTTTACTTTCTTCATAACTCAACGGGTATTTTCGGTGGTTTAAGACACATTGAAAGAATCAGCTTTACCTTCTCCTACATTTACTAATAATAACCAAACTACCTCAAGACCCCACCTCTGGGTTCGAACCCAGGAGGACCTTTAGGTTATAAGATGAGCCCATCAATCATTCACCCATTGTAACGGAGTCGAATGTTTCATGAATTTTAACCTCTGCTAATTCGTGATACACATAGCATGACTGCCAGCCTATGCCGTCGACAAGTATTTGTCCTGACAATGAACGTAGTAGATCCCTCTGGTCACCACATCTCATTAGAAGCCCAGATAACTTCAGCCTGTAGTCCGTCAGTCACTAGCGTGAACACAAACAAGGACCTTGGGTAGTTTTCATCGTTTCTCTGATTGGTATGTCGGTTCATGACCAAATCTCAAATTAGTTAAATCCCTGAAAACCAACCCATGGAAATTCATGAAACATTATTGAATAAACTTTTTTCACTGTGATGAAATAATTACCATATTAGTTTCACAGAACAGATGATAGATTACCGGTTTAAGTAATCCTCCGGCCCCATCTAGTTCGAATCCTACCAATGATCAGTCACTGCGTCAGTACTATTCTCCTTAGCTAAGGCTACTCTCAGACAATCCCAAAACTGTCAATTACAATAAATTGTGACATAACACACAAAAGAGCAGGAAATTCTAGACACAATGTTTATGTCACTATAGAAAAACGTCCGCATTTAGACATTTAGAAAGCAGAAATTAAAGTCCCTAGGATACAAGATTTCATCATGAGCTGAAATCTGTCAGAGAACCATTGGAAAACCAACCAGGGAGTACTGTACTGGACGGCTGTTTCGTCCTAATTTTGGACCCTTTATCGGTACGCACCCACCGGAGTTCGAACCCAGGACCTGCTGGTTACCAGGCGAGCTGTTCAGCACAGTAAACCCAGGTTTCCCAACGGTTCTCTAACCGATATCAGCTCACAATGAAATCCTATAACCAATCAATCAAATACCTACAAACCAATACTTGTACGAAGTCTTTACTTCATAGAGCTAGGATAATGTGTTCAAACGACTCCCTCAATGAAGAGTTTAAGATTATTAGAGAATTACTCAGTATGAATGGTTATCCAGATAAGATCATTGAGAAAAATATGACTTAGGCACCGAAAGAAGTCAGTAGGGTAACAGCTACAAAAAAAGCCTTTGTTCATGAAAGTTGCAGTTCCTCGGTGATAATATCATCGAAATAGTAACACAACGCCTGAAGAATGCAGTTAAAAGAGCTTCCAGTACTACTACTCCGATTTTACATTAGAAAATTAAGGACAAACTACCACCTGATTTGCCTCTTCTATGTGTATCTACCAGTTTAACTGCTCCTTTGGAGCCAGCTACATTGGGTTTACAATTAGGCAGGTTCCTCATCGTATTTCCGAACATTGTCCAGAGTGGTTAAGCGATGGACAAACAAGATCTATTCGTAGCTCTATTTTAGCACACCTTGCAGACAGTGAGCATCAAGTTGGTGTTAACATAACACTTAAAGCTATTTATCGCATTCCCACTAATCATAATTTTGCTTTAAGAGTTCGTCTTCTGCATACAGCCAAAGTCATCATAATCCATCCACCTGAAGAAGACAAACATGTGTGTGTGTTCAGCAGAAACTCGTGCATTTACTTTCCTTACCCTGGCCACTGTTAAATGAATGTACAAACCTGACTAATTCACCCCTTTCCCCCTACACCTTTAAAAATTATCATTTTCAAAATTATTTTATTTTCCTTTAATTGCTTATTACGTAATCACCTTGAACACTAGCTATTCCCTAATTTCTCTTCACTTTGAGGAAATTATGCATGCAATATGCTATCCACTTGTTGTAACCATTTCTACCTTTTAATTGTGTGTATTAGTTGTCTCCGTTAATTACCATCCCCTTCCTGACATGTTGGTACTGACTAATTATTCAAAACGTCTAAATGAGGATTTTTTCCATACTGAAATGTTTGGAACAACAGTCTGCATTAAAGTGTGCTCACTGAGTATCTGCAGGACAGAGGCAAGGTACATTGAAGTGAGAACTCCAGTGAAATTCATTCTCAAGATAGTGACGATCGTTTTTGAGCCTTTCTGTTAAGGGTGAAACAGAGAGAGAGATTTATGCTTTGAAGTTTTAGTAGTTGTCGTGTTCCTTCCAAGAAGAAGAGCTTAATATGGACTAAACGATGTTTGAGCGTATGTGTCTGTGAAGGAAATAGAACCCAGACGCGTATTCTACCATGCAACCACCTGACAAATGATCAGAAGAAATCAAATTACTGTGTAAATCTGATCGTGCTTTTGTTTATGTATACGAGTGGGTCGGTGGCGCAGGGATAGAATACTCGCCGACCACGCCTCTCGTGGTCCGGGGTCCGATCCCCGGCCACTGACCCACTCCTACTTTACCTCACTAAGCCGGTAAAAATCTGGAAAAGACTGGAAAAGAGGGAACGTTGAGCATGAGGCAGGCTAGCAACCCCATCCCCTAAAAACATACACCACCGCTACAGAAACTTCAAGCCTCTAGCTTGAACGCACCCTATGTTCCACTGGAAATGTAAAGGAATAAAAAAGTTATGGGCATGTAGTCTGATTACTATTCATTTATAATAATAATAATAATGCATTTAAATTAATTCATCTGCGTTTATCCACGTGAAATTCAAACATAAAATTTATAGCCAATATATAAAAGTCACAATGATGATTGCAATATTCAAACTAATGATTTCGTTGTAACTGTATTCTCTGAGATGGATGGCTTTGATTGCAAAGCTTCCATTGTCTTACAGGGCAGTATCTTCAGCGCGTATTTCACACTAATAGTTATTTCATCTGAAACCACTGAAATGGAATCATTCACGAAGAGACAAGACAAACAACAAAAAATATATTGCAGTCAAACAAAATCCCTACAAAACCAATACTTGAAAATTAATCTGATGCTCACTAGTGACTGGCCCTATTCAGGCAGTTAACCTGAGGTTCTACTGGGAAGCCGTGACCGGTAGGGTATAGCAAGTTGAAGATGAGGCAGTAACTCATCGAAGAAAACATTGCGAAATGGTCGCGCTATGTCGTGAATTGGCAGAAGTTAGAATTCAAGGACCATTGGATCGGGTCCCAGAGGCTTAATGGTCTACAAGCTCGCCTTGTAACCAGAGGGTCCTGGGTTCGAATCCCTGATGAAGAGTCCCAAACTAGGACGAAACTGTCCAGTACTCTCAGGTTTTCCAGTAGTTCTCTAATTGATGTCAACTCATGATGAAATCCTCCATGCAAAAAAATATATTCACCTAAAAAAATATGAAGTAGACAGATGAATAGATTAAATAATTTCAGGTGAGTAGTGAGGATTTATCAATGCGATTTTCGCAAACACAAAAACTCATTGGCATAGGTCAGTAATTCATCTAGTTATGACTAAAAAAGTGGTGATTTTTCAAACCAACATCACGATTGATTAGTCATTCTCATTCGAAATTCCCTTTTAATTTGTTTTGTACGTCGGTGGCACAGAGGTAGAATGCTCGTGCCAACCACGCATCGTGGTGGCATGATGCAGACAATGTGTTCCAATGGAATGTTATTCTCACAGCGGTTAGGACTCTCACCAACCATACACATGGTCCGGAGTTCGATCCCCTGCCAACGCACACCTGACGCACATCAATGATCGGCCTGCAAAATTTGGGCTACCGATATCGCATGCTGAAAATTTCATACAGGTAGCAAAAACACTGTGTG